ACCAGGATTGTTGGGCCCATTCCAATTTTGCTGGTGCATTTTTAAGACCTTTTTTTTTTTTTTTTTTCCTTACCTGGACTCAGCCTTAGTGGGAGAGTGATTTTCGTATGTTTATTCTCGATGGGAAAATCTATCAAATCCTTTTAGCATTGCAGCAGAATGGGAAAATCTCTCCCTATCTTTTCCTCCTCTAACCCCAAATAGAGTAGAAGACTTCAAAAGCCCTGTTGTGTCTTATTTTTAACTCCAGCATTATTTCTGACTGAAAAAATGGACTGAAAAAACACCACAGCTATGAAGCAGCAACAAGTTCACTGTAACATCAGAGCAGTGAGTTTAACCTGAGAGGATGAGCAGTGGGACCTGATATTCAATAACTTAGTGGGAGGAATATTATAATGTGCAGTGAATTGAAGCAGACTTATTGTGCCTTACCCTGTGAAGGATGTCTGCCTCTACTGCATAAAATCTTGCTTTGTGTTCCCAGAAACGGCATTTAAAATGTACAGCGAGTACACAGCAGGAATTTAGGAATAATAAAATGGTCTGAGCACGGTAATTTCAAGCAGCAATTGATATAGAAAAAAGACTTTTTTCTCTGGCTGAAACTGGTGACTAATGTAGCTTTTGCTTAAAATTATTTGCTTTAGCTGGACATTAACCTCTTGGCGGAGATTTCTGGAAAAAATAGATATTTGGCAGTAAAAATTCATAAAGATGAGAAGCAGGGACACTTTTACCTAGCTAGCAAGAAAGAGCTGACAACCTTCAGACATGACAAGTCTCATTTGCAACAGAACTAAAGTAACATGACAGTTTTCTTTTATATAAAGAAATATATATATAGGCAGATACATATATATAACTATAAATGTATTTCCTATTACTGTGATAATAATCCAAATGTGGGTTATGGATTATTCCTAGTAAAGCACTTAAGTAGTAGGTCTCTTCCCTCCCCAACTCCCATCTGTCTGACTGGGCTTTTTATCTGAAATGCTAAAAGTCGAGCAGTCACATAACTCACCTGGGAACCTGCAGACCGGCGTGGGAGTCATTCCTCCCATCACAGATCATGTCAGCTGCTAAGGAGATACTTGAGTGTAACTTAAATTCATCACGACTTACATTTTCTTTTTAACTTGCATGCTTTCCCCTAACCTTCCCTTTCAATTCGAAGCTCTCAGTAGCAAGGACGTTGCAGCCGTGGATAAATAGTCGTTCTGGAGCGGAGTGTTGGGGGAGGATTTTGCTGGTGCTCTGGGCTGAGCGGCTCTCTGTGTTCTCGCTGCAGCTTGCACGGACAAGGAGCTGCGGAGCCTCGCGTCGCGCCTCAAGGACTGGTTCGGCGCGCTGCACGAGGACGCCAACCGCGTCATCAAGCCCACGAGCTCGGAGACGGCGCAAGGCAGTAAGCACATATTTCCTATTGCTGTGATAATAACACAAATGCTATGGATATGCTGTCTCCAGCTCCAGCTGCTTTAAAACCAGCAGCGCGACACAGTGAGACCGTTCCAATTCGGCAAGGAAATCGCTCGGTCTGAAGGCCGTGGAGGCCACATCTAAGTTTGTAAGTAAAACCAGTCCGGGACTTGCCCCGAGCGCTGAGGTTACGTGGCGTGACAAGTTTCATGTCCATACAGCTACGCACCATGAGCAGGGTGCAAAGCAGGGCAGCTGCATCCACATCTGCATCTACTGGGAATGGACCCCAACCTCAGCAGCATCAGCCAAGACCAGGGCGTAGAGGCACAGGGGAAATTGGGCCAGTGTTGCAAGACTCACTTAGACTTTTTCTTGTGATTTCTTTTCAACAAGCTGTATAAGAAGAAGAATAATGAAAATATACTTGCCCCAGTCACAGAGCTGGATTAGGTAAATGGTGCAGAAAGTTGGAATTGCACACACAGAGAAAAGGCAGACTTGTCTGTTGTGTTCCAGGTATTTAATAACACCTTCTAAGCTTCCGTTTATGCTTAGAAAAAAGTAGTTTAGAGGACATTTACTCTCTGTGGGTTGAACCGATATGACTGATTCTGATGTCAGGGAGGGGAAGGACTCAGATGACAGCTCAAAGGAGGTTATGCTCATCAGAGAGCTGATACAAACTTATTTTCCATAAGGAGTCATTAATCCTCTTAAATAGTGTGTCCCAAAATACATAGGCCTCTGCTTTGCAAAGAGGGATGCTCGAGTTTTACCCAGGTGTGTGACTTGCCTCCGCTTTGCTGCCCTAATTCAAGCCTGGGTCCACACAACCAAACATTAAAGGCTTCAATCAGCTGCTCTCTTTTCCTTCTCTTTTGATGCCAGTGACTAGTTTCTTTAGCTATTTAGCCACTTCCAATAGTGATTTATTTTCAGCAAAGTCTTTGAAGCAGTATAGCCCATTTTTCTCTTGAACAGCCCTCTGAAAAAACTATTCTTATCTTGCAAACAACGCTGAACAGTGGCGCAAAAAAGGCAGCTGAGCATCCAGCTAATCAGGGCTTCAAGACGTGAATTCATTTCAGGCCTCCTCGTAGGAAACTCCAGGGACAGAAAACTTTGTCTGAAGTCCTTTGGGCCTTCAACGACATGTCAAGAAGATGTTCCCTATGCTCCTCCTGAAGAGCTTAGTCAAAGGCCAAAGACAGAATTGATTCCTCAAGGATTTTTTTTTGTTGAACCAATTTCAGTGAGAAAAGCATTTCTGGTAATTCTTCAGTGTTTGCTCTGATTCACAGAGGAGCTGTTATCTCTTTTTAGCTTAGTTTGATTCCTGGCAGCTTTTATATGAAAGGCTGCCTTGATGATCTTAAACACTTGATCTCAACAATGTTCATTTTTTTTAGACTGTTGACTTAGTTTGGCACATATTCTTGTTTTCTTATGTGTCGGGGAAAAAAAAAAGAAACTTTATGAATTAAGATGCTTAAATCTTTACCACATGCCACAAAACTTGGGCTTGTTTTCCTTTTCAAGAGATTGCATCACTACTCGTGAATTAATCCGCATGTGCCAAGTTCTGCAGCCCCGTTTCTCTCTCTAGTAGCACTGGAAACACACATTGAGTAAGAACAGCAGGATTTGGCTTCCTCTCACTTCAAACATTTGTGAGAATAAAAGACATCTTAAATGGGGCTCAAAATTCAAAGCAAAGTTCACAGACCCAAACTGAAAAAAAATACTTGTGTGAATCCCAGCAAGCAGGACACCCACAGCGCTGGAAGCATGCGCTGACGAACCATCGCTCCTGTTATTGCTCTGCGTGTGTTCCCCTCCTCACCAGGCTGATCGCTTCATTAAACCAAACGGGTTTGGTCATGCCTGTAGTGCCTTAAAAAGCATATGCAGCCTCAAAGTAATCCATTTGGGGTATGCCCCTGTGGCAGTAAAAGGGAACAGATGGTGGGAAGTGATGACTAAGATGCCTGGGACACATCAGCTGTCTGGAGAAGGTGTTCCAGCAGAGATTTTTTTTTCTATGCTACATTAAATTTTCAAGACGCTACTGTGAGTGTAAATAAGCTTTTTGAATGTATTAAGTTCACCCCCAGGTGAAGAAAAGACGTTCGTTTTTTAAAAAACTCTTTTGAAAGGGATGAGATGAGGGCAAGACGTCAGTGTTTCGGATCTCAGAGCTGCACTCTCTGCCAGACCCTAACGAAGCACCATCAGCCAGGAACTGTTTTCCACAGTCTTCGTACAACTGAGACCACCTCAATAAATAATATTACCATGAGCAACTCAGGGACATGTTAGAAATAAGCAAACAATAACACTAATTAGGTGTCAATAATTCATAACACTCCTGCATTGAATGTGAATGGTCTCTTTGACTGGAGTGGGAGTTGTTTTTCCCTTTCTAGCAATCTGTGCAGTACAAAGGATCCTTTCTGCAGAACATTTCTTGTCCTTCTTTTATTTTAAGCGACGGAGGAAATTAGGTTAATTATTCCCCTGTTGATTAAATTGTAGTATGCCTTAATAAAATAAATCTGACTCATGTAAGTCAAATCTTGAAGGGAGAAAAAAAAATGTGTGCCAGAAGGTCTGTGTATTTTAATTAGGAGTTTCACTTATTTTTTTTTTAATTTAATTCCCTTTCAATTCAGTGGAAGTGGAGCGTTTTAGGTATTAATGGGGTATCGAGGCTTTCACGTGTAGGTCGTTGGCTTGAATTCCTTCCCGCTTGGCAGCTAAGGAGAGTCTTTAGGCCACCGAGCAGCTGTCAGATGGAAGGAGAAACATGATGGTCTCAGTCCAGGTCCTTGCGAGCAGGTGTCTGCCACGGAGCGGCCACCACCACGTTGACACTAATTGTCATCGTCGCTGGCAGCCGCTGTTGCTACAGGGCTGAGTGAAGGCACAGAAAGATGCAGGAAAGATCTCTCGGAGGCTGCTCTTGCACCGGTTCCTCCAGGCTCAAAATTCAGCTTATTAACCTAAAAAACATTATTCATCCCTGAAGTGCAGCGCATGCTTTATTTCATCCAGCATATTGCACTGAATGGGGAGGAAAATTTATCAGGAGACTGCAGGAAAGGAGCCATTAATTTACAAAGAGCTGCTTGACCTCCCCTCATGTGCTGCAAACGAGGCCAGATCCTTGACTCCGACCTGGATCCCTGCATCCGCCCTCAGAGCCACCACAGGATGGTTTAGGTTAGAAGGGATCTCTCGGGATGAACTGGTCCACTTTCTGTGTCTACCTGCCCATTAGGCACCATCACCAGATGGGAGGTGACTGTGGACAGCCAGTGGGCTCAGCAACACCTGCTCTGCAGGACTGGCTGCATGGGAGACCTTGCAGCAGGACCATGACATGAGGAACATCCTAGAGAGGGCATCTGCCCTATGGAGAGGACTCAGGCACATAAGGCCTGTCCATGCCGTATCAGCCCTGCACCGTGGAAAGGAGAGTCAAGGGCTCTTAAATCCACAAGAGGTTGCCCATTGACCAAAGCCTGCCTGCCTCCTTCAACTGAAGGAAATAACTGAAGGAAATAGCGCTATTTCCTTCAACAAGGCGAGCAAGCATCCTCCCTCCATCTATTCATGTGACCTTTTTCACTGTGCTCTAATGCGATTAGGTAACATTAGTGGAGATAACAGCACAAAAATGCGATAAAAAGTCCAGCATGATCCCCCTCCTCCCTGCCTGAGCTGCCACCAGGCCCAGGAAACGGTGTCACCCTCTTCCCTTCTTAAAGAAGCGTGTGCCAGGGCTGGGATGACCCTTTATGGATTTAACCCTTCAGATGGTGACTCTGTGCTCCCTGACATCCCTGCACAAGGCTTGGCTGCCCTCCCTTGGATTAATGCTTAAAATAGCAGGTAAGTGCAGAGCTTGGAGACAGCAGCAGGATCCAGCAGTGGATTTGATGTGCCTTGAACAAAGAGTGTCTGGAAACAGGACTTGACATGCAGCACAAGCAAGGTGAAGCTTGAGCTCTTTTTCGTATCCTTCAAGGCATGGTGATGCCCATGCAAGGTGTGCGGTGACTCACATGGGGATGTTTGCCCATCTTCTTCCAGGGTTTGACACCAGCATCCTGCCCATCTGTAAGGATTCCTTAGGCTGGATGTTCAACAAGCTGGACATGAACTACGACCTGCTGCTGGATCCCTCAGAGATCAGCGCCATTTACCTGGATAAGTACGAGCCCTGCGTCAAGCCTCTCTTCAACTCCTGCGACTCCTTCAAAGATGGGAAGCTTTCCAACAACGAGTGGTGCTACTGCTTTCAGAAGCCCGCCGGTGAGTGGTTCTGCTTTGCAGGCTGATCTGTGATGCCATGGTGGGAATTGCTGAGGTCACTGTAATTTTTCGATATTCACATTTAATAATGCACAAGCAAAATCAGCATTTTGGGCTAAGTGGTTTCATATTCCTACTGTTGCTTTTTACTAGTGTTTATGCCAGCCAGACATATCCATCCTCGCTGGAAGGATGACAATAATCCTTTTAAATATTAATTTAATTAAGGAGACACTCAGCTGAACAAGGAGAAGTCTTAAAGCAGCCAAAGTGCCATAGAGCCCTAAAGAAGATGGGTCAGGGCTGGGCAAAGTGCTAAGGATGCCCTACAGGCACTAGGGACCTTCAGCTCCTCCACCTGCAGGATAGCAATAGAGATGTGCTCAAGTGCTCCAGTTGGATGCCTGTTGTTAGCAGGGCCTCTGAAAATCTTGGCATTCCATACACACCACTCAGCTTGTTTCTCTGCAAAACTAATTCCAATATTTGCCCAAACTGGTAACACTGGTTATAAGCTTGGAGCTTTGCTCCAAAAGCCCTAAAACTGGAGCTTTGCTCCCAAAACAATCAGGACTGCTGGTCCTGATTGGCACTGCATCTTCAAAATTATCGCTGGTTTAACATTAATGTTTCAAAATTTTAATAGTTCAACTATTTCAGATTGGCATTTTCAAGCAATCATATTTTCCAGAGTGTTGCCTCTAGCTTAACAAGAGCATCTGTCCATTTTGGTTTATTTCTTCTACAGTTACATAGGCAATATCTGGGCCTGAGGGGAGGGTCAAAGAAAAGTTGCTTGGGTCTCTTTGTGTTTAAATTTTGATTGATTGGCTCTTAAGGTCAGTTGGGTGATAGATATTTTTGTTTGTTTTTTTTAAACCAACTTTCATTGGCATAAAAGGCCATTTTCTAGGAGTATTTAAGGTCACAGATGAACTGTCGTAATATCCCTCAATGATTAATATAAAGAAATATAAAGTGCTGACACACACACTTTAGAACCACTAATACAAAGCTTAAGATCTTGTTTTCTTATTAATGAAGGTACTAGCCTATTAGCAAATCATAAATTACCGAGCTGGCATCATATGCATTCAGTGAAAAGAGAGGAGAAACTAACAATGAAAATGGCCCCAAAACAGTATTTTCAACTACAGCTTGTTGCAATTTTTTTTTTTTAATTAGTGGAGCTAATGACACAAATTTGTTTTGCAGAACAGTATCAGCATATGGGCCTGTTCCATTCCCAGGTGTACGGGCATCTACGTTTCATGTCAATAGTGAAGCCAGTCATTAGAGAGCCTGTCCTGCACCATCTGGAAACTGATTCCCATACTTTATATTTCAGGTCTTCCCTGCCAGAATGAAATGAATAGAATTCAAAAGCTAAGTAGAGGGAAGAGTCTGCTGGGTAAGTTCGGATGCTTGCCGTTCATTTACTCAAATCATTCACGCTTCTGTGATTATTGTAACTTCCTGTGCAGCAATAGGGTTTCAATTAGGGGTAATGTTTGGAGTCGGAGTGGGCACCACAGAGCGTGGACCAAGGACGAGGAAATGAAAGCAGCAATTCACATCTCATTTTCAGCATCTCTGCAGGATGCTGCTGTGCACTGGAGCTGTGACAGTGCCTGCCTGTCTCTCAACTACTGGAAGCCCAACCTGATTCATCTCGTAATGTACAGGATACCTAAAACTAGGTGGAATAATGTCCCGTATGGCATTGTTCCATTTAATTGCTGAAAAATCAGGTTGTTAAACTGGGTTATTTTAATACAGCTAATTCTGCAGCCTAAAATTGCACCCTGGTGTGTACTTAGAGGTTCTGTGGTGTTATCTTAGAGCTGTTTCTGCCGCAGTGTGTTGGTGTACGTGGCACACGAGGTGTATCAGCACACACTGAAGTCTCCTTGTTCTGTGTATTCTGGACACTCATTAGCAACCCTCGCAAACAGCTTCTGCAAAGCTCGTCTTTGCCAAACCCTGCCATTCCCAGAAGGCAGCGCCTTGGAAACCATCCAAACCTGGACTGCTTTGTTCAAAGTCGCTGTCAGCACACCTAGAGGTCCCAGGTTTATGGTTTAGCTCTATCACTCATTTGTAGGATGGTTGCTTAAAAGGTGAGGTGTTTCGGAGCTGCCAAAGCTACAGGTCCTAGGAGCTAGCTCTAGCTACCCCGTGTTTATTTTATGCTTGTCTGTTATTTGCTATATGCTGTAAATGTGACCTAGGTTGAAACAAAAGTGCCCTTTTTTTTTTTTTTTTTTGTAGTGCATGGGAAAAATAATGACTCTATTGCAGGTAGTGCAACATACAGGCAGCTCTGCCACATGGCACTGGGATCTGGTCGCAATAGCAGGACTAAAATGACACCATAAAAAGCAGCAAGAATAGTCCCTTACCACAAATAACTTCCAGCCAACTGCTTAAAAAAGTGGATAAAACAGGCTAAGCTCAACAAATCAGCGTCTGGCACAGGTTGTTCCACCAGCTGGAAAAATTTACAGGGAGGAACTCTTTGGTTCGCTCACTCGCTTGAGAGTCTGCCTGCGTAATGACACCTGTCTGTGAGATTTTAATCTGATTTCACTGCTACTCACACAGGGGAAAACAATGTCCTTTCTCTTCGCTGAGTTGCAAAATCCTGCAAACAGAAGAGAGAACGCACAGCTGACAGAAGCACTGCTTGTAGCAACAAGAAAGATTGAAGAGAGACGAATATTTTCTGAGAAACTAGTGCTTAATTATTCTCTTTCCTGCTCCTTTCCTGACATATAGAGCACAAAATTTACATTCCGGAAGAAGATTTCTGTGAACTCATATCCATTGATAAAAAATGAGGACTTCTGATATTTTTTTTTCTATATATATTTTTCAAAATGCATGACAGTTGCAACGAAGTACTTCAAAGCTGTTGCCATTAGATATGTTGAGTTTGGAGACTTTCAAATAGACTCGAGCATCCCAGGGGATTGAATTAAAAAGTAAACAGCACTATTCATCATTTCCTACCAGATTTATCTTGAGTACAATTAACAGCAGTGAGTGTGCTTTTAGGACATAGAACTGTGCAGCCTGATCATGTTTCTCCCACATCACTACGATAATAAATTTCCCTTTCCAGCCCTATTTTCTTCAATATCAGCCCTGTGAAGTCAGCTAATAGCTAATATGGGAAGCTGCAGGCTGGCTGCACTTAATCCTTTAGATTTTACCTGGGTGCTTTGCAGTCCTTAGCGTATAACTACTCTTCCCATGTCTTCTTATGAAGGGTGCTGTTACATATAAAAGGAAACCAAACCAAATAGTGGCATGAAATATTCCCATGCTGTGGGGTACTTGATTGCCAGAGCTTGTTCTCTTGACTAACACCCTGTACTGGCACATTACTGTGTGTAGCTAAATATTTAAAGCTGAATATTTATCTCATGTTGCATGTGCACACACAAATTGGCACAAACTGACCCCCTTCCTCATCCTCTGCACCGCGACCCAGAACGTGAATCCTTTCAATCCAGTGGAGCCGTGCTTGGTCATGCTGGCAGGGAGCCTGCCCATATTTTTTTTTAAATCTATGGCTTTTACAGCTGGTGCAAAGCGGTTTAATACCATACATGAACCACAGGGAAGCTAGGTGAAAAGGCCTGTTACAAAATGAGACAGTTTAAAATACAGAAGCTGAATGTGTGTGTATATATATATATATATATACAGCCCATATATATGTATGCATATTTACTGTATGCCCTGTATTGCCACTGTGCATAGACTGACCAACACCTGGAGGGCTTAACTGAGAGGAGGTGTGAGCAAAATCATGAAAAATTATTCTGTAATCAGTAATAACATCCCAAACAGTGAGCATTAGCCTGCAAAAACAGTAGAGCTGTGCAGCACTACATTATTATTAGAACTACTTTTGATAAATAATAAAAATGAGTCCTTAGGAGTCACAAACATGTGAAGTGGGCTCTAAAGCTGACCAGTTGTACGAAGCTTGCTGCTGATATGCTGAGATTTCTGATCTTCCAGACCTACGTTAACAGCAGTTAAACATCAGACAAGATCTGCAGCAGGATGAAATTGGAAACTCAAGGATTCATTTTATATATATATTGATATAGAGAAAGAGAAATATAGGGAGAGATATAGCTAGATAGATACGTAAATGAGATTGACTGACTTCCATTTTTATGTCTGCTATATAAGTAATTTCACCACATTTGGGCAGCACTTTCTCATTCATTTTTTCTGTGAGAAATGTAGTGGCGAGCACCCCTTTGACACACAGACTATCTGAAGAGATGCTGTACACATGGAACTAGTTAAAATAAGTACTGTGTAACCAATAAATCACAGGTACCTTTGACAAAGAAGAAAAATACTGTCTCAAAAATCATTTGAGACCATATTTTAAGGCAAGGATGAGTTTGTTGTTGTTGGTTTTGCACCATGTTTCAAACCGAGGCAATTGGCAAGGAAGGGAAAGTGGCTGTACTGACCTCCCCTGGAGTAAAACTAACTCATCTCAAAGGATGAGAAGGATTTTCATATTGAAGTATATCTGTGGTGTCTGCTGAGGGCACTGGCACCAATAATGCAGGTTTCTCCGGAGAACTTTGTCACCTGCAGCAGGAACCACACTCTGAACAGCTGAACAGGACGGGTTTTATTGTAAGACAAATCCTAGGACTTGGAATCAGAAGAGGTATTGACTTCCCATGCTGGGTGCCTGTCTCCAAGAAGCTCATGCATGAGCTCTGCTTTTTGCAGGGGAACTTGTAGTACGTCTGGAGCTGTTCTTGAGCTTCGCATGACTAGCAGAGGGCAAATGCTTTCCAGGAGCAAATACAACATTGGTGAAAGACTTATGTGAAAACACTGAGGGAGCACAAATAGAAGTGAAATGCAAAATTAATGGCATTCTGGATAAGATTCCAGAGTTGGGAGGAAAATGTGTAAGGAGTTAAATGGGAAAGGGGAGCTGTGGTAGTATGAATCACTGAGGGACAGACCGAGCCTATCCTTAGCACTGCGTGCCTTCACCCTCCATATGCAGCGGCCAGGAAATATGTAATATACCTTGTATAATTTCTGCTTTCGGCCATTTGGCCCCAGGACATCATAACGACGCTCACGCCGCTGCAGGTCCAGGATGGGTCCAGGATGCCCTGTCTAGCTGCATGTCCCCAAGGACGCTCGGATCCCGCTCACACCGTGTGTTTTATGCAGGTGCTTTCATTCCCCGCTGCAACGAGGAAGGGTACTACAAAGCCACCCAGTGCCACGGCAGCACGGGGCAGTGCTGGTGCGTCGATAAGTACGGGAACGAGCTCGCCGGCTCCAGAAAACAAGGAGCAGTCAGTTGTGGTGAGTAACGAGGGGCTTCTGCTCCAACAGCACACGGATTAGCACTGTTGTAAGCCCTGCCACTGCTGTAAGATCAAGCACGATAGCAAAAAGTGGCAATGGGGAAAACATAATTATCAGTGTTGGAAGCGCTCGCGCGCTTTCCTATTCATAACACAAATGGGGCCTTGTGACACATGCTGTTCCTTTGGACGGTGGCTGTACAGCAGAATTAAATTGGGAATAACTGATAAGAGGATGGTTTTGCTACTGGCTTGGAAAATGTAGTAGTTGCTATTAAAGGATATGGGATTGTTATGCATAATTATTAAATATATTCTGTATGGTCCGGAATCCACGTTTGCAGGGCCTTCAGAAATATTGTCACTCCCAAGTAGGAAGGCTTGACTGGGTAAAATTTTATAAACTGACAACCAAGCCTGATGAAAACACTGACAGTTTCATATTATGTTGGTATGTAAAATCACCTCCTAGCATTTATACCTGCACAAACAAGATTTAGGTGGCTTTCCCTCAGCATGTTTTAGTGATGGCTGTGGATGCAGCTTTCTTATTCCAGAAAGAGTAGGAGAAGCGAAGGTTGGAAGGTTAGAGGTGCCCAGAATTGCACTGAAGGTGTTTGAGCTCAATAGGTGCTTTTGCAGGAGTGTGCATTAAGCACTCACATAAAATCAATCTGTGGGGTATTTTTAGCCTGGCCTTATCCATTTGCGAATGGATAATTATTTTGTGGCCTAACTGCATATGAGCAGAGTTGGCTCACTCCTGAAAAGATCATCTGCATCTCTAGGAGACAGGGAATGCATAGCTTCTTAGTCAATTATTTTTTTAATCATAAAGCAAGATATATTTACCCCAGTTCAGGATGAAAACTGAAATTTGAATGTTGTTGTTGCATGAACAGCAGAACCAATGAATTTAAGAAGTGTGAGTGGCAGAAGCTTAAACTGCAAGGGTAGTGATGGACGTTGATTGGGGAGGTTGAGCATTGCGTGGGACAGTGACCATTCCCTCTTACCTATTTCAGAAGAAGAGCAAGAAACCTCAGGGGATTTTGGCAGTGGTGGATCTGTTGTATTGCTGGATGATTTGGAAGAGGAACCTGAAACAGAAAAAAAGGACAAAGAAGGGAAACTGAAGATTCATGTAAGAGCAGCTAATGAAGATGATGAAGATGAAGATGATGATAAGGATGATGAAATTGGGTATATATGGTAGTGCCCACCATTCTGAGGACTCACGTTTTGCACAATATTGCAAGTCACGTCATATCTCTGCAATTGTATCTGAGAGTACCTGGCACAAATATTCCCTCTCTTCTAAGTTTGGTTTTGTATAGTGTATTTAATTTTGAAGACAGATTTTTTGTCTTGTCTCGGTTTTGTTTTCCAACCAGGACTGTTTGGAATACAGGTTTTGTTCCGTTGGTTTGGGGGATTTTTGCTCTATCCACAGGGGTGATGAGTTTGGTTTCACATCTCAGTTCTCTCCTGCACAGCTAGTGCCCTGCAAAGGACGAAGCACAGACGGGGCCCAGCAAACCAGGGGGAGGCTTTGGGGCCCACCCCATGTAACGAGCCTTAGAGAACTTGTGTCACAAATACTTACCTGGGGCATATCAGAAACAGATATTTTTTCTTTCTTGGAGAAGGAAGGTGCCTCATTTTTGTCGTCTGTCTGTTACCAGTTAGTAAAAAAAGTCAGAGGTTTAAAAGGGGCTTGATCTGGAGAGCTGCGGAGCTCCTGTCCCATGGCCAGACAACGTTGCCCATCCATCTTTCCAAGAGTCTCCAATTTGCAAAGCTGTAGAGTAGTTTGCAAAGCTGCAGAGTGGTTGGCAAAGCTGCCGCAGCACCGTGAGCTGCAGGGATGCGGTGTCGAGCTGCTGCCCGGCCCTTGTCCCCCTGCTTCCAAAGCCAGGGAGTGAGCACTGCTTTATTTTTAACAGCTAATATTATTTGGCTCTTTTAAAATATCAAGTCAAGGTGGTCGTATTTCAAAAGTGGGGCACATCTTGCTCACTATGTACAAGAAGTGCCACACTTCTAATGCAAACCCATAAAAGAGAAGAATAAGATTAAAATGCAATCTGTGGATAAAATCATGAGGCATTTTTGTGTGCTGTTTTGCACCTTCCCTCAAAAACTGCCCTCACACGCATGGTAAAAGGCTGGTATCCTGCCCTGCTTTGGAGCAAATCCCTTTGGTTTCCCTCCAGCTTTGAAAAAGCCATTTAAAAAATAATAATAATAATAAAGCACTGTGAGCTGTCAGACACAGTCTTTTCCTACTTACTTTTCACAGAAAATTATGCTGACTTGCAAAAGGAACAGGCACAACCAGCATTTCTGTTTCCTTAAATACCATCTACAGGCACATGTACCATCTGGGGCACATTTTGCAGAGCCCCGGTAGTTTCTTGCGTCTCACCCGACGCGGCTGGTTTCATCCTGGCGCTTTAGTGATTCAGCCCGTCCTCTGGGTCCGCTGCTGTGGTCTCGTGCAGGACTCACCCGCACACCCTGAACCCAGGAGCCTGATCAGCTCAGCCAGGTCCAACCCCAGCAGCGGTTACAGGGACAAGAAACGCATTGGCCCACCTGGATGTAGAGCTCCTCCGGATCAATCCCCTCCTTGCCTCATGTTTCCATGTTTCTGCTCAGAGCCTTGTAAAACATTTGTTTTGCTTCCCAGTTAATTTAGTGCCTGCCTGTTCTGTCTTGTTCTGCAAAAACAACACTTCCTATCTGCATCCAACCACCAACCTTCCAAATAGTTTTTCATTGTGTAAAAAAGGGAAATGGAGCTGTCCCGTTCTTTCACAGCCACAAACCCGTTTTTAATCTCATTTTCTTTTCATATTAGAGGCTATGAAATACTGCTCAGTATTGCTTTATGTTTCAAGGTGTCCTTTTAACTGCTGTGGTTAAATCAAAATCTCCTTGGGTTCAGATTCCAGCACAGTTGGGGTTTTTGGGGGGTCATTAATGGCCTTTGCTGTGAACACAAAGAATACTTTTTTCCTTTGCCTTTTTTTTTAAGCTGTTCTGGACCATTCTTTTAAGCCATTGAAAATGTTTATTTAATATTTATTCTACACTTTATATTGAAGATGTAAAGTTTATATTTAAAATGACACTGTTTGTTAGTGAATGCTTCTCTCTCTCTGCCTCGCCAGCCTAGTCCGTAGTCTCAATGTACATTTCTGGCATGGGAATATTTTGATATTAGAAGTTTTGTAGCATTTTTGCCCCCCTCCAGCAGCCAATGACATAGCTCGAAGGTCACCCCTTGCTTGGGACCACCAGGCCGCAAAGTTTGGCACCTCCATTCGTTGGCTTTTCCGCAACCCCCTCGTACGCCACTCGAGCTCCTTTAAGACACCAACCGCTTTGTACAGTTCCTATACATCAAAAAAAGCCCTTTCTACCGTAGGTGGTTTTTGGTCTTTTTATACTTTTCTCAATGCTGTTGATGTCCGGTCCTGTTGAATGTGTAGAGCTGTACGGAGAGATCCAAATATTCCGTGTTTCAGTTTGATGTCCCTACTGTAGCTGGATGTAGACTGTCATAGTAAGTAGCCCTGCATAGCAACTCCTGAATGCTTTTTCCATAAGGACTTAACTGGAATGTGAACATTTTGCTATCTTTGGTTGACTGTAAAGGCTTAATTGTAGTCTGGAATAGTTGCATTTTTGTCTGTCTCAATAAATTTTAATTTTTTTGAAATGTAAACTTTCAGAAAGTCAAAAATTAAACCAAATTAAAAGCCAAAACTTAAAAAAAAAAAAAAAAAAAAAAGAAAGCACAGAACTTTAGTCAGAAGAGGAGACTTTCAGTCTTTCTTCCCTAGTTTGCTAGTTTGCAAATCTTGATTTTTTTTTTTCTTAGTACTTGTCTCCTGAAGTCATCCAGGACAATTCCATACATAACCACATTAATATTATAGCCAAGACTTAAAAAAAAAAAAGCACAGAACTTTAGTCTGAAGAGGAGACTTTCAATCTTTCTTCCCTAGTTTGCTATTTTGCAAATCTTGATTTTTTTTTCCTTCGTACTTGTCTCCTGAAGTCATTCAGGACAATTCCATACATAGTCACATTAATATTAGCTACACTATAAATGGAGACAAAATTAATTGAATATAACTGAGGGAGAAAGCCACCATTCCTTACAAATACCTAGTTTTGTGTCTCTGTCTGAGCAAATAAATTGCAGCCCCTCTCTTCACTATAGTAATAGACAACCCAGGGATCAGTCTTCTTGGAGGATTTTTTTTTTTTCCCAAACCCCAAAATCCAGGAGACATTTTCATCACCAGGTTGGATATAAACGGGCAAATCCATGTCCTCATGAAGAAACAAGGCCCCAGGGGCTGCTTTATATATAGGTCAGGACTGAATGAGAGCAATCATGGAGACTTGTGGCATTATTATTATCAGTATTATTTGTGCCTCATTATTATTATTATTACTACATTGACTATGGGTCTAAGAAGCCACCATGCAGTGAGCAAAAGGCTGAGCTGCCAAGATCCCTGGAAAAACATCTAGTGTCAAGAGCTGTCCAGAACCTGCCTTAAAATTCTATTGAATTTATCACATTCATTAAGTTGCTTCAAATTTTGGCCCTCTACATCCTGACCTGCAACACAGCTCCCTACCTGACATTGAGAACAAATGAGTTTGCCCTTTGCCGAACCCTCCGGAGCAGCTTGGAGTGTTGGCGTATTCATATTTAAGCACTTCAGCGGCACCAGATGTCAAGGTGGGTTGCTACACGCACATATTCCCATATATTTGATATGTTTTCATTATATTGTATTTATTCAGGACAGACCCCTGCTTCCATTGAAGACCATGGAAGGAAAACTCGGATCAGATGCATCCATTCATGCAGCCAGCAGAGTTGGTCCTCGCCTGCACTGTATATGTATAGCTCTAATGTGTGCATTAAAGGCCTGCAAAACCTCCCTCCCCATCCAATTTAGGTAGAGCTAAGGGGCTTGGCAGCTCCGGGGCTCCAACAGCACCTTTTGCAGCCGATCACTATAAATTCCTGCAATTCCCTGCTAGAGCTGGGCACACAGAGTATGTAAAGAAAACTTAAATGGATTTTCCCTGCCAGATAATAACTGCCTTTTCTTGCCTATAGTTAAAAAAAAAAAAAAAAAACCCCACACATCGCTGGATGATGGCATCCAAAAGAAAAGAAAAAGCCGCCTCACAGCCACAGGTATCATAAGTTGGAGGGGGACACAGGATCCCCACTTCCATGCATTTCTTTTAGCAAGCCGAAGTGCAGCAGTTTGGTCATCTGGCTACAGCATCTGCGGGTACCAGCTATTCGGTCAATCTACCCAAACCAGCACGTACGGCCTCTCAGAGCAAGGCCAGGGGCTCTACAGAGCTCAAATCTTCGTCCTGAAGAAGACCTGAACCCCTAATCTGAAACCTTTGCTCCCAGGTCTTCGCTGCTCTCCTCCAACTTCCCTGCCTTTTCTTTCCCTTGTCCCTAATTTTGGGAGCTAGTTAAGTTTTAACAATGCATCCTATCACTGCTGAATGAGATAGCTGATTGCTCATCCCATTACATAATTGATTAATTAATAACCTTGCTAATTGAGCATCCTGAAATCCTGTTAAAACCAGGGCAAGGCTCCATCCCAGCCGGTTGCTTGCAGGGTTTTAGCTGCACCGTTGCCTTCAGGCTGCTAGGCACACGCTGAAGTTCCCTGGGGCACGATTTGGAGGATGAACCTTGTTTTCACCTACAACCTCCAAAATTCAAGAATTTTTGCCTTTGCCACCTTAATTGAACTGCTAAATCCAGCAAAGGTCAAGGCCACGAAATGGGGTCGGTGCCTCATTTGGGCGCCCCCTCAGAGATGGGGCTAAAACTGCATTTTCCCCTAAATGCTGCATTGATGGCTTGGGGAGCCCATCCCCACAGCAGTTCCTTTCTGGAGGCTGAAGGTAGCTTTGGAAAACTGTATTTAAACATATATTTGGGAAAGATAAAAGAGGTTTGGAATGCATTGCCTGAAGAAATGCACAGAAATCAGCGCTTTTCTTGCTGAAATCTATAAACATCTTTTATATGGCTCTCAGTCTGGACTTTGGTATATGAAATTGCAAGCAACTTTGGTAGGATCTTATATGCATCAGTATCAGAAAAACACATCGGAATTACTTTTCAGAGTAACAGTTGTGCCTGTCCTAGAGATGAGCCCAAAGTTCCCTGGTTTGCTGGTGCCTCCAGCCAGAGCTCAATGCTAACACCCATCCATGGAGAGCAAGGAAAGTGCAATCCAGGGAAAAACGCCCGTGCATCATCGCACCGAGCGATTTCATGGACAAGCTGCAGCTTTTATTCCTCCTGAAGCTCATTGCGCTCCCACGTAGTTAACGGGAATTTTTCTGTGGATGTTAACATGAGTCGACTGACGCCCACTAAAAAAGAGGTCCTTGAGCTACAGAAAT